AATTTATAATATGTATAAAATACGTATAATTTGTATATAATATGTATATAATATGTGTGTAATATGAAATGTATATTACACAGGATGTTTGACGCAAGCTGTTCGCCACATATTTCTAGTTTAATTACATCAGCATAAATAATAATAGAACACATGAGAAAAGTAGAATAATAGAAGAGAATTATATAAAAAAATACTTGTTGTGCGAGAAAATAACGTATAAAAAACTGTGCAGTATTTGGTAGCCTGTAATTTGATTAGAAATAGTTCGTGATTAGCAAGACGTCACACGCTTGAGAATAGTTTAGCGATATTATCGTAGAGAGAGGGGCAGACTTTAATGTACGAAGGCATTAAAGTCCGAAAGTAGTAGTAGTCCGAAGTGAAGAAAACATGTGATCGTGATATGTAATCTACTGAAGTTTGTTTGAAATGTACATGAAAACATTTTTTTTAATTGACAAATTTATCTTGTTTTTACATTTCACATATATATAAAGCTACGTCCGGTTTCGCGTCGCGATGTATTTGTGCTTTGGACGTTAGTTTGCCAGTGTCTTTAATTGTCAATTTTCCTTCCGTCTAATAACGGTCGACCACACACCAATGGTAAGTTTCTACGGGCCTTTTATGCGTTCTCGCGTTAAAAATTAATACTTTCTAAATTGTAATGGGGATTTATAATATTAATAATTTATCAATAAATGGTTTTCTCTGTCGTGATATTTTCCATGATTATATCAATCCGTACTTGTTCTTACTCGAACATTTGTCTCATTTTTATTCAAAATGCCACCGAATGGTTTAACATTCGACGTGGTTTCCGAGTTAAAGCTACGTTTCTCGAAGATTTTTCTCCGACGTTTCGTGAACATTTCAGTTCGTTTCTTCAAGGTGAGGATCGATATAAAATAGTTTCACAATTACTTGGAGGATACAAATCTTTGAAAGACGTGGTACCGGAAGCCACCTCAAATGTTTATCCATACCGCGAAAGTATAAAATTTTACACAGCATAATCTATACGACGAAAGTAATTCGGCGTCTATATTATACAGTCTATAAAGTCTGCTCTACTTATCTATCTTCCGAGAGTAATATGTCGTTATAGGCACATAATATATTACATACGAACATAGTGTTAAAGATTAAATGACGGACTTTGACACATAAAAATTATCGATTGTGATAAATTGGCCCATGATAAATTATTGTTACCCAATAGTTTTACTGCTTGTACCAGTAACAAAACTGCTATTTATTGCTGCTCAATTTAACACAGCCAATAATGGTTTTCTGTAAAGAGAAGAGATAATAACTGCAGCAAAAGTATGTGATCTTTTGAATAAGCGGAATTGTAGAATTAAAGTACTTGTGAGACGTATTGTACAAGAGGAAAGCAAAGAATGAAATGTAATATCATTAATCACAAGATCAAGGATAAATTCAATTGGCTTCAATGAAAACACGAATGTTGACTATATACTAAAGGATACTTTTTCCAATGATGATTTGAAATAAACTACTAATGATGAATAGTTGCAAAAAATGCAGCGTGAATGCGCCGATACTAAACTTCCGGGCAACTTCAATAATTGTACAGTGCAAGAACAAAGTGACTGGATGTATCACAATATAACGGATTTATATCAAAATGTGCCAGAAACTTTGCAAAATATGATCCCGGCTGCCACACGTCCACTCTATTTCAACCGATCACTGAATATGCTTTCTGAATGGATGGACATAGATAAATATCGTAGAGGACAAAAGTTTGTGCGCGAGCATTATTTCTCTATTATCATTGCCGCTTTATTCGGTGCTATGTATGGCTACATTTTAGAGGATGGTCTCAAACCATCATAGGAGGAAACAGTCATATACCATATTTAGCATTCAAAAGATATTTCTCTGAGATAATGTCTTTTTATTTACGAGTCTGACAATGAGACAGCAGCAAGAGCGATATTCCCATATATTCCCAAATGTTCAATAGAAATCGTAGGAATGACCCAAGAATATTCGAATATCTCGAAGCATTTTTAGAACGTCTTTCGAACATTTGTGCCGTATGGGATTAGTAAGGCAGAATTTTGAGAGTTAATAACAACTGACATTGACGTACTACGGTTTTTAAATATTTTTTGTCATATTTCGCGATTACTTGTACATGTGTACACTTTCTTGAGTCGATTTAAAACGTCCACAACATCACACTGTTCCCTTTATACGAGTTTCTCCTCTCTCCTTCTCTCATCCTTTGCGCCTTTAAAATAATTGTAATAAAATTAAATATATCTCACACTATCTATGTAAATAGCATCAAACACAGATATTAACCAACGATTGCTTATTACACGATTATTATACTATATAGTTTAAGAATTAATCCATTAATTTCCAGGTATCTGTATATCCTGAAACGGATGCTCGCTTGGGAAGGCTACGATTGGGAATCTTGGGTTAAAGGTACAAAGGCCTACATGGACATGCAAGTGTTCCGTAGAAAGCATTTAATAATAAGCACAAAGCTTTCCCGGCTGGATAACAAGCAATACCAGGCGGCATCGAAATTCGAGCAACCGTGATATCCGGAGTGAGAAGAAGCGGACTTTATAAGCGGTATAATATAGTCGCTAAATTACTTTCGCCGTGTGGATCATGCTGAATGAAATTTTATATTTTCGCGATGTGAAAAGACATTTGAGGTGGCTTCCGAATTGGCACCACGTCTTTCGAAGATTTGCATTCTCCAAGTAATTATAGAACTATTTCAGATCGATCCTCACCTTGAAGGAGTGAACTGAAATGTTCACGAAACATCGGAGAGAAGTCTTCGAAAAACGTGGCGCTAACTCGGAAGCCACGTCGAATGTTAGATCATTCCGTGTCATTATGAATAAAAATAAGGCAAATGTGCGAGAAATATCAGGTATGAATTGATAAAATCATGGAAAATATTACGACGGAGAACATCATTTATTAACAAGATATCAATACTACAATTTCTCATTACAATTCAGAAAATATTAATTTTTAACGCGAGAACGCATTAAAATTTCGTAACAACCTACCGTGGATGTCTGGTCGATCGTCGTTAGACAGAAGACAAACTGACTGACTGAAGGTAAATTGACTATGAAAAACACTGGCAATGAAAATAACGTACAAAACACAAATACGTCGCGACGCGAAATCGGACGCAGCTTTATATACATGTGAAGTGTAAAAACAAGATAAACTTCTCGATAAAAATGAATGTTTTTTATTTACATTTCAAACAAACTTCAGTAGATTGCATATCACGACCACATGTTTTCTTCACTTCGGACTATGTCCTTCGTACATTAAAGTCTGCCCCTTTCCCTACGATAATATCGCTAAACTATTCTCAAGCGTGTGACGTCTTACTAATCACGAACTATTTCTAATCAAATTGCAGGCTACCAAATACCGCACTGTTTTTTATACGTTATTTTCTCGCAAGTAGTTACAAGTATTTTTTTTATATAATCCTTTTCTCCTTTTCTCATGTGTTCTATTATTATTTATGCTGATGTAATTAAACTAGAAATATGTGACGAACGGCTTGCGTCAAACATCCTGTGTAATATATATTTTTTATTATATACATATTATATATATATTATATATATATTATATATTTTATACATATTATAAATTAATAGCAAAATCTGGTAATTGTCGTTTTGATTTCTCGTGTAGCTCCGCTAACTTCTTCGAGTCGATATTTAACGCTGCTTTAAGTGTTTTGCACACCCTTTTATTAATAAATGATCTCACACTTGAGAACTTCAACGCATGATGGAACAAAAATCTAAAATGATGAATAAATACTCATATTCGTGAATTAATATCGTATTACAAACAATATTAAACTGTTATAACATACAAAATATGTATTACTCACCTATAAGCAATGTAGGCGATCCACTCTCTATAATTGAGCGATGCATACAAGTTAGGCATGTTTAGATTTAATGTTTCCGTAAAAAGCAATATTATTGTCTTATAAGGGAAATACAGCGAGTAGTAATTTATAGATTCTACCATACATCTTGTTACATGCACGAATTCAGGTTGGATTTCCTTAAAATTAAGTATTGTCCAATGTTGAGTTAAATCCCATAAACGTTGTTTTATTTCCTTCAAGCTGCCATGGCAAAAATTGAACCTAACGGATTATATTTAACATATATACGTTCTCGATTAAAGATGCAAAAGATGTAAAGAATAATGTGAGCGATTGACACCAACGAGAGGCGTATTTTGATGGACTAACAATCGGTTGACAATATTCGCATATGATATTAATATTTTTATTTTCTAGAGTTGTATTTTATGTGAGCGGTGAACTTTATTATATCGTACTTATATAACGATCATATGATTTCTCATGTATAATTCTACAAAATATGTTATTGATATGTAACGAGCAGAAGGGTAAGCAATAAATTATTTTTAATTTTCGTATCTTAAGGAATTCGGCGTTCTCCGTCCGGATGTTAATAAAAATCGAAAACTACTACTTACTCATCTTCAATTCCGAGAAAATATCCGTAGCATTTCCACATATGGCAAAAGGCTTCTAAATCTTCATCGGTTATAGAATGCATTCCAATTTTCTGCGGATATAATACAGGCAACATTATGAAATTAGCCTGTGCAACGGCCATCGTCGCATTACTTAAGCCTTTCGGTTTGCGTGAGATGTTATCTGAAATTTTGTAAGGACGTTGTCCAGGCTTCTCGAACGGACATGTCAGAGCAAAATCTTTCAGAAGCATTTCGTATTCTGGACACCACGGTTGCTCGAATTTCGATGCAGCCTGATATTGCTTATTATCCAGCCGGGAAAGCTTTGTGTTTATTGTCAAATGCTTTCTACGGACAATTTGCATGTCCATGTATGCTTTCGTACCTTTAGTCCAAGGATCTCCATCGTACCAAGCGAGCATCCGTTTCATGGTATACAGATACCTTCAAATTAAAGGATTCATCCTTTAACTATGTAGTATAATAACCGTGTAATAAACAATCGTTAGTTAATATTTGTGTAACTGTTGATATTTACATAAATAGTGTGAGATATATTTACTTTTATGACAATTATTTTAAAGGCGCAAAGAGAGAAAAAGAGAAACGCGTATAAAAGTAACAGTATGATGTTGTGGATGTTTTATATCCATTCGAGAAAGTGTACGTTTGTGCAAGGAATCGTGAAATATGTTCAAAAATATTTAAAAACTGCAGTATGTTGATGTCATTTGTTACTAATTTTTAAAACTCTGCCTTACCAATCCCATACAGCACAAATGTTCAAGAGACGTTCTAGGGATGTCTTAGAGATATTTGAATATTCTTGGGGCGTTTCTATGATTTCTGTTGAACATTTGTACTGTATGGGAATATCGCTCTTGCTGCTATCTCATTGCCGGGCTCGTAAATAAAAAGACATTATTTCAGAGAAATACCTTTTGAATGCTAAATATGGTGTATGACTGTTTCCTCCTATGATAATTGGTTTGAGGCCATCCTCGAAAGTGTAGCCGTACATAGCACCAAATAAAGTGGCCATGGTAATCGAGAAATAATGCTCGCGCACAAACTTTTGTCCCCTACGATATTTATCTATTTCTACCCATTTGGGCAACTTTTCTTGAGACCGGTCGAAATCAATTAGGCGAACGGCAGCCAACATAGTTTTTTGCAAACTCTCTGGCACGTTTGGAAAGTATTTGATTAAATTCTGATATGCCCAGTCAAGTTGCTTCTGTATGGTCCAAATATCGAAATCAGCTGGTGTTGCAATATTATTGAGTATATTTTGTAGTTTTTCTAGAAGATATTCATCTTCATTGGAATTTTCTGAATGGTCGGCGGATTTGCTAAGAACATTCTTAATCATCTCCTTAGTATTCAACATGTTTTACAGAAAATTGTTCACTTCAACATTTTTTTGATTTTCCGATCGTTGATTTATCTTTGGGTTGAGAAAATGTAATCTGTTACGCAGCTGCGTTTTTTCTTGTGGTGATTATGCTGGGTCATGTGTCACACACTATCGTCACAGTTATGATTGTACTGTTTGCTTCATTGTTGCATAATTACTGCTATTTTTAATTTAATCTGTTTGTCTTAAATATTTTTCCTCGTTCATGCATAATTAAACGTTTCTTTCAACATAACGTAACATTTTGCCGATTCATAATCATTGCGTGTTTATAAATACCTATTACAAATAAAATAGAAGAGGTTTTAAATCTCTCGTTACGCGATATTTGTTTTTGTGTTAACTCACATGCGAGCCACCATGCTGGCTAGCATGTTAGCTAGCATGTTAACTGGAAAACTCGAAATCACTAGAAATTTGCTATTATGCGTGCTCTCATGCGTGTCAGCATGTTGCTTTTCGAAGATAAAGTATGTGGTCACACGATGTTTATTTCCTGTTAACTTTTAAAGTGCGAAGCGAGGACTTTGGGTCTCCCAAAATATTTGTTTATTTTTTTTCTAATAATTCCGTAAATAATTTTTTCCTAATATTCTTCTTTCATGATGTTCGATTTTTATTCTAAATTGAATATAAGTAGACTCCCGATAACTTTCTGTACAAGCGTGTTTCCCCTCCACACGAACGATACTAGGTCATTGATCTAGTGTCGTGTATATTCCCACCATATCGGCGCGTAAAACGAAATCAGCCTGTAGCGTATAATCATAAAATTATACTAATGCACAACAAGAGAAAATCTGAAAAAATCTGAAAAGTGGTGGTATTCGTTAACTAGCCAATTCCAAGGATTTTCCGCTCCTATAGCCTCACTAGGTCTATTTTGTAACAAAAATTTCACTAACTTAGAATGTTGTTACGTAGCTTTTTTGCTATACATTATTATATCTGCGCAACGACCAACAACGACGTAACAAAAACGTCATTCAGAGTTACAGAATAAGAGTTCTGAGGCGGGAAGTTACCAAGATTCTGCTATACATATTCATTCATAGCATATTTTGGTTAATTATTTTATAAAAAAAGATAAGTTTTTCGCTTGGGGGAGGGGCAAGGTACTCCACGTAGATTACACTTTACCTCTTATTATTACCTTTTCGTAGATTACACTTTTGGTTTTTCTCTTAAAATTAAAAATGGCAAATTACAACAAATACTTACCTCAAAAAGAGTTGGAAGAGTATTTGGATGCTATGATTGATAGTGAGGATGATCCATGTGATTCGAAAACAGATATAGATGATGATGATCCGAATTTCGTACCTTCTAAGGATGACTGCAGTGAAATCTCGGAAATAGAAGATGAAATGGAAGAAATGGATGAACAAGCTGATGATATATCTTTCTAATACTGATGTTAGCGATCAAGTGAGGGAAGGAAACGCGGTCGCTGCTATTTATGCCTCAGAAATAAAAACAAAATATCTAAGGTGAAATCTGGTACATGTGCTAATTATGTTTGTAACGAACACAGAATCGAGGAAAAGCGTATCGTACGTCTATATCACGTGAATTTTAACAAGAATGATGACTGAATTCTAATAATAATGAAACTGATGAATAATAATGAAATAAATAATGAAACCTAATAACCTAATAACCTAATTTAATAGTGCTTATAAATAATAAAACCTAATAACCTAATTTAACGTTGAATGAAGTCAAACTGAATTATTATTTCGTTATGAAATCTATATAAATCTAAACAAATAAAAAAGAAAATATTTTTTATTATTCTTAGTACACAGATATCATAAGTTGATGATAAAATATGCCAAAGAAACCAATTACCATTTGATTACTTCATATAGAACATCACATGATAAATATAAAACATAATATTTAAAGATCGAAATTGTTAGTGTTACCATAAAATTGTTAATGTTATCATAAAATTATATGAATTACGATATATATTAGAAACTCATTGAACTCATTGAACTTTTGTACTCATTTAATACATAATAATGTGTCATGATTTATTAGAAAATTCTAGTAAATGCTTTCTTGATTTCTCTCGTAACTCTGCTAGTTTATCCGGTCCATAACTTGATGCTGTTTCAAGTATATGATGCGTTAATCGATTCACAATTGATCTTATGATCGAGAATTTTAACGCATGGTGAAACAAAAAGCTGAAAACCAAATAAATGCCAGTTATAAAATATGCAGAACAAAATTGCTCTTTCTTTTATTTGCATAAGTTAAATAAATATCCGTGTCAGAGAATTAATGTCGCGTTATTAATTTAATTCGTGCTATGACGTATAAAATATATATTACTCACTTGTAAAAGTTATAAATGATCCAATCTTTGTAACTGAGCGATGCATACAAATTAGGCATGTTTACATTTAATGCTTTTGTAAAGAATAATATCATTGTCTTATCAGACGTCCAAATTAAAGGATAATAATTTATAGATTCAGCAATACATCTCATTATGTGTATCCATTGGGATGCGATGTCCGTAAAATTAACCGTTACCCAATATTGACTAAAATCTCTCGCACGCTGTTTAATTTGTTCCAAACTACCATTACAAAAGTTGTATCTGGAAAATTATATTTAACCTAAAATATTTTATTTATATAAGAATGCAAAAATATATATAAAATCACATTAGCTTTTTTATCTCCTAGAACGGAACAGATTCTTTCCTGGCATAAAAACATGAAGGAAGATTTCTGTAATTTTTCTATATTTAGTCACAAAAATGATTTATTTGGAAAATTGTCGGAATAAATTTTGATTATCGAGTCATAGACAACTCAATATCAGTCGGTAGTGAAACTATTACATACTCGTACTACTACTTACTCGTCTTCCATTCCGAGTAAATATCCGTAACACTTCCACATATGACAATAAGCCTCTAGATCGTCGTCGGTTATATCCTGTATTCCGATATTTTGCGAATATATTATGATCAAAGTTATTATGCCACCTTGTACATTGAACATCGTCCCATTATTTACAAAATCTGTTGTGACCGAGGAGGCATTCAACGTTTTATAAGGACGTTGTCCCAGCTTTTTAAATGGACACTCCGTTGCGAAGGTTTTCAGAAACGTTTCGCGTTCTAAAGACAACGGATCCGCAATCTTGGCTTCGACGGCGAATTGTTCGTTACTCAACTTGGACATCTTTGTGTTTATGTGCGCATGTTTCTGACGTGTCATTTTCAAATCCTTGTAAGCTTTAGTTTCTTTTACCCAAGGTTCTCCAGTGAGCCAGCTCAATATTCGTGTTAGAGTGCTGAGATACCTTCAGATTTATGTTTTTACTATTAAATTATGTGTTTTTCAATGACTAACTAATGCTGTTTATATCTCTTTATATTTTATGTAAATATGTGTCAGGTTTTATTATAATTATGTAACATACATAAAAAGAGAAAGGACAAGGGAGAGAGAAGAAAGATTTTTGCAACAGGAATATGTCATATTTCACATGGAAATGTGATGCAACTAAAAAAAGTTTCATTTTTGAATTTAACAGAATAACAGAGACGCGTATTTTGGTAGTGTTTTTTTAATTGTATGTGTATGTGTGTATGTATATGTCAGATTTATAAATTAAAAGACTATATCTTAAGAAAATACCTTTTAAATGCTAAATACGGCGTGTGACTCTTTTTCGATATGATAACTGGTTTTAGAACATCGTCGAAGGTATTGATGTACACGGTGCTTGCTAGTAAACTGATAGTAATCGAACCATAATTATCGTGTACAAACTTTTGTCCTCTGCGATATTTGTCCATGTCCATCCATTCAGGTAACGTTTCCTGTGATCGATTAATGTCAAGTGGGCGAATGAAAGCCGGGATTATATGCTGCAAAGATTCTGGCGTGTTTTGAAATAATTCCGTGATATTGCGATACATCCAGTCATGTCGTTCTTGCACGTTCCAAGTATCGAAACCATTCGGAAATTCAGTACTGGCGAGTATGTCCTGCATTTTCTTTAAATATTCATGATTAGTGGTGTTTCTCAAATTATTGAAATCTCTAGAAGTATCTTTAAAAGTATGACTAATATCCATGTTTTCATTCAAATCAATTGGATTCATCTTTGACCTCGTGATAAATTATCACACTTCTTTTATCGCACTCTTCTCGTATAATATTTACCACAATCACTGTGATTATGATTCCGTTTGTTTAAGAGATTATATACTATTGTTGTAGTTATTGTCTCACTTTATCATTAAATTATGATCATTAATATTTCTTTCCAAAAAAATTTTTCTTTCGGATGATTTATTTATATTCCCCTGAAAATCTATAAACATAAGTAGTGATTTAAAAAAAAAACATTGCGATGAAATTATAATTGCCAAGAGATATATTTGAATATTATGTATAACAACAGATAACTTCTGGAAAACAGCGGAAACGAACTTGATAAACGGCATAATAAATGCTGACTTATTCCTTTCGTAATTTAAGTCATACTAATTAATGTCTCATCATAATTAAAAGTGAGGGAAACTGTGTAAGAAAGATTAAATGCGGATTGATAGAATCATAAAAATTATCACGATGGAAAATATTCTACATTAACTGAATCCTCATATTATGATTCCTCTTTGCAATTCAAAAAATATTAATTTAGAGCGTGACAATATATTAGAAGTTCATACGTACCATGGACAACGTGCGGCTACTCGTTGTTATTCAGAAGAACTTATTGGACTGAATCCTCAATTATCCGCGTCGAAACTTATATAACTTATATAAATTCCGCATGACGTAATTAACGCGATACAGAGTTTGAGGACGAAGTCCATTCAGAAGTAAAAAAATCTATCTCGATATCTGTTCGTGTGTTTCATAACGTTTTCCTATAATCTATTGTCAATAATAATAATAACAAAATATAAAGTTAAGAAAAGCACGCTAAGTATATAAAAACTTCCAAATATAGTATGAATAATATTTTTATAAAAAAATAGCTTAAAAAACTTCACGTATAAAATGTTATGATAATGAAATAATAATAATAATAAGACAAATTGTAAATGCAAACCGCAAATTTTTTTTATTAAAACGTTTGTATTATTTTTCTGCAAATTATATTAATTTAATAGAAAAGATTTTGATGAGAAATGGTGGTAACTCATTTATACTTCTAATATAATAACTAGTGTCAAAGGAGTTTTTTCTGATGCGCAGATTGCCCAACACAATTATGTTAAACAACGGAATAAGGCAGTAACTGCGATAATAGTACATGATTTCTTGAACAAACGGAATCGTAATTACAATAATTATAGCAAGTATCGCACGAGAGGAATGCAGTGACAAAAGTGTGATGTCGCAAGATCAAAGAAATTTTGCTTCTACATTAAGTCCATTTAGTTCTACATTAAATTTCTACATCAAGTCCATTTAGTTCTACATTAAATTTTCAAAGATCTTCCATCGTGCTCTTTTGATGCTACATATGGGAAATTATTTCCGTTTTTTCCATTTGAAGACTTAATATAAAAGTATAAATAAATAATCAATTACTTTTCTCCTTCCGCTTTTTGATATGTACTAGTTAGGTTGCGGATATTTGCCATTCTAAAAAGTAGGTCACGATTCATCACGATCACAGGTTTGAGAAACATGCTTCGTACTAACTTTTCTTTCACTTCGCTCGTACCGATTTCGACTACTACATCTATGCAAATTACTGCTAAAAATAAAATGTTATCGCAGTTCGCTTTATTTATACATCTAACTTCGCGTTACAATAATAATGTTTCGCATTACTCGTTAGTTTCGTTAGTTTCGTTGTATGGGACTATATTGGAATATATCAATACCTAATAGATTAAATTATATCAGGCTCTATATAAACAATCGCGGAAAACATAGAAAGGCCAATAAGAAACAAACGCAGTTATTGATGCGAATACATTTATTAAATTTGCATAGGAGGCGTTTTATCTCTTCCAAGCTGCCACGGCAAAAATGATACCTAACGGATTATATTTAACACTAGATTTACCAGACCAGTCATTTTGACTCGTCGTGCAATTTCAATTCAAAATTCCTACTTGCATGTAACATTTGCTTTCCGAAATGATGTTATGACTTTTGTAGCTATAAGTAGAGAATACATTTTATGAACTTAATGTTACTTTATATATATTCGTAACAAATATATTTTTTGTTATTGACACTTATACCAGTACCAGTCAAAATGACTGGTGCAACCAATGACATGGTTTCTATGAAAAAATTCTGTGATGAAATGACATTGGAGCAGCTATAACAATTGATGGATACTGCAATTTTTATAAAGATATTATAAAGATATTAGAAATATTATTTCGGGAGAATCATGAGACCGATGTAGTACATATAGCGGCCCATGCGTCTTTTGTTCGTTCCGTTATCGGCATTGAGCCGATTATGGCGATTACGGCGATTATGCGCAGTATTTATTTAGGATACAATCTTGTTTCGAGCTTCGTTCAACACATACGAAATAAAATCTTAATCTAAACGATCTCCAAGCGTAATCATTCACCTTTATCTCCACAGTGACACAGATAAGAAACATTTATGTGGATATTGAAATATTCAAAAATAGTTTCTTCAGTAAGAAGCCTAAATACTAAGAGAATTATTTAGTTTCAACTTATTTTTATAGCGATCGTCAGGCCCTGAAAATGGCAAAACGAATAAAAGTTTCTACATATTTGAAAAATGCAACCAGCATACCTCTGGAATGTTCAGATGTAGAAAGTGATGAATTATATGATAACGACGGCGAATTTTTGGAGAGACAAACTGTTCAACAAGGCAGTGACGATAACAGTACTATTATCGAGAGTAGTGCTGAGGAATTCCCGATAAAGACAATATAGATTAGTCAAGCGACAGTGATTGCGAAAATATTCCAAAGAAACGTACGAGA